GCATCTTCCACATGCTGGGATGAGTGAAACCAATTAGACTTGGGAAGCTTCAGAGAAGGAGGGTAATGGGGAGGTCTTGGAAGGTTTCTCCAGGGACTGTGATCCTGCACCCTGAGTTGAGTTTTAAGGCAGAGGCAATTCACATAGAGATGTATAAACAGAGGGATCTAAGCCCAGCAGAAGGGACTTCAGGGTAGCTGAGCTGGACATGCAGGGCGTTGAGTGGGAAGGGGTAAGGCTCATCACAAGGTGCTTTTAAGACCATGACAAATGGCCCCAGAGAACGGCCCCAGAGAACAGTGGGAAGTCACTGATGGTTTTTTTTTTTTAATTTTATTTTATGTGTGTGTGTGTGTGTGTGTGTGTGTGTGTGTGTGTGTGGCTAGCTCAGCCCACCAGAAGGCAGGGCTGGCTGGCATGTGGTGCTGGGGGATTGAACCGTGGTTCCTGTGCTTTGCTTAGCTTGTTCTAGGTAGGTGCTTTAGACCACTGAGTCATCTCCAGCCCCAACTGATGGGTTTTAAGTAGAACAAATGGGATCTGTTTGTCTGTTGGAAAGATCGCTTGAGCAGCAGGGCAGAGAGCAGGCCAGCGATGCAGGAGTGGGGGCAAGCAGACAAGTTTTAGGAGGCTCCAGTGGTTCCCAGGGAAGAGCTCATAGGCTGGTTGGGAGAGACTGGGTAGTCGGGGTCGGGAGTAAATAGTGAAAGGGATGAGAAAGAAGGCTTCTGACCGGGTGACTCCTATCTCTCACTGGGACAGGAGACAGAATAGGTTCCTGTGGGAACATGATGATTTCTCTTGAAAGCAAGTTGCATTTGAGGGGCCATAAGGCAATAACCAGTGAGCTCTCATCAGTGTGGACCTTAAGAGAGGCGATATTTGAAAGTCTTCTTTTGGTTCCCCTCCCTCAGGAGTCATCTGACCCTGACCCAGGCCCTGGAGACACAAGAGCAGCTGTGGGCCAGTCTCAGCAATCCGGACACTGCCATGCAAGAGCTGGCTGGTGAGATCCTTCCTGCCCTCATGTACTCATCAGGCTGAGGAGAGCCTTGGAAAAGCTATGGGTGGGAATTTTAAGGCCAAGAAGTAATTCACAACTTTGGTTTAGGTGGGTACCACTGGGCGTGGTGGTGCACACCTATAATCCCAGTGCTGAGAGGCGTGAAAACAGGAGGATCACTACAAGTCTGAGCTGTGTAGTGAGATCCTGCACAAAATACATTAAAAAAAGTTTAGGTGGGTGGTACAAATGGGAGGTGGCAGTGGAATCAAGGGGTTCTGATCTCATCCTCAGCTTCAGTTTTCTATGGGGGACCTCTGGGGGATACCAAGGACAGAGAGGCCCTGATAAGCCTTATCCAAGCCTGCTTGCGCCCCAGCAGCCAGAGCTGGGTCCAGCCACACACACCTCGGTATCTACTGGCCACACTGATGCCCAGCCCAGGTAAGCAAGGTACCTGTGTTGTGGAGGGCTACAGTGGAGTTCAGCAGCACCCCCACAGAACTGTGAACGGCAGCGCAAATAAAAGTGTATGAGGGGGCTGTATACACACACACACACACACACACACACACACACCCCAGTGCACTTTTGTGGATGGAGCCCTGAAGGACCCTCCTGTCTGGGGTGGTGAGAGTCCTTCTTGTTCTTCGCCCTTGCACCTCCACTCCTAAGAGCTGGGAAAGCTGGACGCCATCACAGAATGCAAGGCCCAGATGCACCTCCTGCCCACACCTTTGGAACCCGGGATCTGTGGACTGAGTGAGGGTCCCCAGGCCTGGTTGTTGCGACGCCGGAGTCGTACTGTCCTGCATGTGCTCCAGAGAAGTTCCTCTGTGTGGGTTCCTGCGGCTGTAGGAGATGCCAGACGCACGGAAAGGAGGCTGCGGCAGCGCCTCGTGCAAGTCAAGCAGAAGCTGGAGTCATTGCAGGTTGCGCTCAATAACCCCAGTCGCAGGGACCAGTCTGGCGCAGGGCGGGGACGCAGCCCTAGGCGACCACTGGAGGACTTCCTGGAGACCGAAGCGCTGGAGCTGAGCCAGCTGGTGGGTACCCTGCAGCGTGACCTCAACTGCCAGTTGCGGCAGCTGAAGGGCGAGCCCCCTTGCCCCTCCCACCGCTGCACCGCCATAGCCCAAGCTCTCTGGACTGGCCGCCTACCAGTGCCCTGGAGACCCCATGTGCCCTCCGGCCTACAGCCGCCCTGGCAATGGCTGCGGCAGCTGTTGTGCCGTGGGCAGCTGTTGGTTAGTTACCTGGGCGCGAATGCAGGCACCGAAGTATCAGAGCGTGTCTTTCACCTCTCGGCCTTTCGGCACCCACATCGCCTGCTGCTAGCGCTGCGCTGGGAGGCTGCCCTGGAGCAACACGGGTCCAGCTTGAAATCTGCTGGCAGCCAAGGTCCTGGCTCCTGTCATCTCCTGCACAGACGTCGGGAACTGAGCAGCAGTCCATTGCACCTCCAGGTATCTTGGCGCCACCCCTGTTCCCCTCAGAGTCCTCCATTATAATCCAGTACACTCCTTGGTAATTCCATTTCTCTCATCTCACACTTACCTTGACTCCCGCCTTCCACTCCGGGTGCCCCATCTTCACAGCCTTGTCTAACTGACTTCTGGCCATCTAGGTGGAGAATGGCCCAAACCCCAAGGTTCCAGAGATGGGGCTGCTGTTGACAGGGCTGCAGCTCCTGCATGCTGTGTGGGACCCTGAGGCTGGGGCCTTGCAGGACAGCTCTTCTAGCCAGCCCAGTCCTCTGCCTCCCGTCAGCGTTAGCGCACACACCCATCGTGCCCGTGCCCTGCCAAGGGCAGCAGGCCTGGCTGTGTACTTCTGTCCGGTGTACCAGGCAGGGCCCCTTGGCCCTGCTAAACTGCACAGCAGGAGCATCCTGATGCACATCCCTCTGCCCTCAAAACTTAGCGTCGCCACCTGTATCCAGCGGAGAGTTCACGTGTGCAGCCCGCCCTTGCCCTGAGCACTCTGCCAGAATAAAATTGTGATTCCATGAATGGTTTGTGGAATTTGGAGAGAGAACGGGGTATGCACAGACAGCAAATGTAACACACACACACACAGGAAGAATACACTGTGCACAAATGGAGGTGTACTTGGGCTGAAGAAGGGGGCAAGAGCCAGGCAACTAGGGAGACGAGGGAGGACAGTTCTAAAGCAGGGATGGTATTCCCTTCTATCAAAGGGATTACGCAGATCTGGCAGTAGCTAACATCTGAATCCTGAATCTTTTCCCAGATCTATTGTGGTCTCAATGCTTAATCCCCAAGAGATATTTTTGAAGAGAGAACATTTAAACTCAAAATGCTTTCTTACAGCATTTAGTGGATTATTGGGAATGCTCCAGTCCTGCCCTACCACTCACACCACATCATTACCTATGATGGATTCTCGAAATGAATCATACACATGAAAAACAAAAGCTAAGTAAAAGGTCCTGCCAGGCATGGTGGTGTAGGTCTGTAATCTCACCACTCAGGAGGGTGAGGCCAGCCTGGGCTATATAGTTAGACCCTGCCTCAAAACAACAGCCACTACCCCATCCCACCCCCACCCCCCAGAGCCAAGAAAAAATGGGGAAAAAACATCCAAACATTCTGTTTATTCAAAAATTTATCCAGCACTCATCCACATCAGGTGTTCTTCCAGGAAAGATGTGGGTCAAGGTGTAGCTGGAAAGCAAAGCCTGGGAAAGATCACTCGGGGCCTAGGAGTCTGCCTTTTGTGCTTGGTGCAATGAGAATCCATTGAAGGATTTTCACACAGAGAGGTGACATGCTCTGATGTACATTTTTTAAATCACTTGGTTCACCTAGCCACCAGTAACTGTCACGGTCATTACGCATGTCCACAACACACTAGGACTTTGTGCGATATCCTATCCTTAAACTGTTAGAAGTACTGCTCATTTACTTGCCATTCCAGTATTTATCTTATGTTTTACTCTTAGTACTTCTTTGCTATCATGAAAACTTTTTCTTAGTTCAATTGTTTCGAAACAT